TCCAACACGGATTTCCATCCCCTCCCTCCTCCCGGTTTGACATTAGAAGAGAAGGTGGCACGTGCTTATGCAAGCTATCGCCTCTCATCATTGGAGGAGAATGAGGAGGTTGAAAGGGAGATCATTGACAAACGTGTGGAGAAAGAGGAACTCACCTTGGAGAGCTCCCTTGGTGAGGATAATCAAGAGAGTTGCATTGATGATTTTTACACCTTTCCCCTTCCCGAGAGCAACTTTGAAGACCAAGTCACGAGGGTGGAGGAGCAAGAGAATCCTTTTTCTATGATCTTGCATGGCATCTTGCCCTCCAAACCGTACTTGAAGACATGAATGGGAATGAGAAGGAAGAGGTTGAAGAGGAGGAAGTAAGCATTGAAGAAAGGTAAGGTCTTGATTGTTCCCAAGGGGAGGAACAAATTGAAGAAGACGAAAGGGAGGTTGAGGTTGAAGTAGAAGGAGCAAGTGGTTTCCAAGATGAGGACGAGGTCAAGGTGGATGAAGCATCCATAAGTTACAAGAGCTACCAATGCTTTCCACCTCGATGCACTTTTGGAGAAGGACCCGTTTGCGGCTCTTTGCCAAACCATCGGCGATCCCTCTTGGTGGATGCAATGGAAGTCAAAAGATGATGCACTACATGGCGTGGGGCAAAGAGAAAAATGAAGAAGGAAAGAAGAAGAGGTCTCGTGGGTGGACCCTCAAAGCCACTCAAGTTCACGAGCCCTCAATGATGGATTCGTCCAAAGCTCGTGAATTGAGACACCACCTCACCGACAAGAAACTCAAATTCAAGGAGGTTCTTGGGTGGAGCAAAACTTGAAGAGCAAACGTCCGACTCATGACGTTAAAGAAGCGCTTGGTGGGAGGCAACCCAACCATCGTCGGTTTGCCCTCTTTTCCTTTCAATAAGAAGACCAATGGAGAGTTTTTGATGGTGTTTTGTCGTCTCTACGCTCTTCCAGATCTGACCCACCCTCTGCTCCCGATCACCAACTTTAAAACCCTATCCGGTAACATCGTTCTACCTCCTTATTTTACAACATTGGGGGCAATGTCGAGCTTAAATTTGTGGGGGGGGGGGTAGTCTATTATGCTTGTGTGTGAATGATTGGTGTGATTTTGAGTGCTTGGAGCCTAGTTGTATGCCCAAAATTTTAAGATGTGAGGGCTCCAAGCATAGCAACTTCTACATTTGTGTGATCATAGCGGCACTTGTGTTGTTTTGTTTTGAATATCGTGGGTATTAGCATTGTCTATGGATGATTTGCTTGTGATTATGTGCAACCTATGATGATGATTGAGACTTGTATCCGGTTTGTGCATAGGTTCATTTCTCATGTGTTTGTGAACCGATAGATGTTTTGAATTGATTACTTGCTTTTCACAGTTGCCTATGCATCGAGTTTAGGGTGTTATAATGAATGATTGATCACGTAGGTAGCTATGTGATACTTGTCCCGTTCGTTTTGTTCTTGTGCGATAGATCCCCCTTTTTATTATGTGTAGCATTCACGTTATTGCTAGCGAGGAAGATGGAGACATAGGATTAGCGCACAACCCAAAAGTTGACCGACCCGATCATATTATCCCTTAGTCAACCCTTTTGAGCCATGTGTCTAAGGGTCGTTCTCGTGTTAGGTAGCTCACACTACTTGAGCTTGATTGATTTGGATAGAATGACTCTACTTTCTTCGTGTCTACACTGTATCGAGTCGCCCTTGTCTTTGGAAGCTCCATTCATACCATTTGAGCTTAAATGAGGTTCCACATGAGTGATTTGTGTATGGTTTTGCTAATAATGTGAAGTGAGTGCGGAGGTAGTTCGTAAAAGAGAGCATCGTTCCTTAAGTTAAAAAAAAAAGTGGCATGTTTTTAGCCCTCTATAGCCCTCAAAGAAAAGAGTAAAGAAAAGAAAAGGGAAATAGAAATCCATAAGAGGGCAAAGAAGAAAAGAGAGTGACCACCAAAAATATAATAAATGTTGAATATGCTCTTAGAAGTGTTTCTTGGCATGCAAGCTATAGAAAAACATATGTTGTTGACCTCTACACTCTTGTGCTTGAAATTGACTAGCAAATGTAGAAAGAAAGTATGTATGACTTGGTTTGGTGAATAGTTGTGGTTTGGAATTGAGGGAAGTGTGGAAGATGTGGAACCTCATGGTTGTGGTTTTAGGTTGAAGATGTGAAACCTCATGTTGTGTTTGCCACCACCCAAAAATCCTTTTCCCCATGTCCTAGACCCTAGCAATTCATTTGCACCCGTGTCTAAGACCTCCGGACAAGCTAGCAACGACACCCATCTTATGAGCTCAAACATTTAGAGGTTGACGTAATGGTAAAGGGACGTTAGGATTGAACGTGAATATGCACATTTTTCGCATCAAATGGTCCTGACCCCACTGGTCAAGAGTGAGTGATTCATTCATCATGTTTGTTCATTTCTTATACCCCGATGAGGACTTAGGTTGCTTGATCATTCATTCCTATGATGTGATCTTCATGCATGAGTAACTGCGGTCGGTAAGTCGTCGAGGCATGTTATGTGTTGGTTGATGAATAATGTGAGAACTCTTCATTTGCACAATCTTAATACAGTTGAATGTCGTTTGTGGTGGTTTCCATGATTACTTTGTTTTTGTCCATGGTGTCAAATAACCATTGTGATTCATTTGTTTTGTGCCTTATCACATGCCTCAAAAATTTTGGATTGAAAAGAGAAGTTGCAAGCTTACCTTGTTTTGTACTTGGTTTGCTTGGAGACAAGCAAACGTTCAAGTGTGGGGGAGTGATTCGGGTCCAAATGTACAGATTTTACCCCTCATTTCATGTACGTTATGCTTAGTTGATCACCGTCCCTCGACCTATTTTATGATAGGTTATGCTTGTTTTGGTACATTTCAGGTCTTAGCACGTGTGGAAAGGTCCAGGACAAGTTTTAGGTCCTTCAGAGGTCAAAAACGAACCAAAAAGTGAAGGTTGAGCCATGTTCACGGGCTGGAGATTCAGTTCACGGTCTCTAAGACCGTTAACTGAAAGCTCATACCGTGAAGTCATCAGTTCACTGTCTAAGACCGTGAACTAAAGCACCCGGCCATGAACTGGGCCCTGTCGAGCAAATTTAAAGACAGTAGTGGGAGAGAGAAAGGGGAGCTGGTTTTTGGAGATGGATTTGATTCTGTCTTTAGGGTTTCTACCCAAAACATCAAAGGGGAGTTCTAGTGAGAGAGAGAGAGTGTGTGCTTGAGTGATCTTGGAGCTTAATTGCAGGCCTGGGTTGATCTTGAAGACAAGGATTCAAGCCTAGAAGAAGAAAAAGATCTTGGGCTCCAATTTGTAATTTCTCTCTTCTCTCTCTAGAAACTCACCCTCTTCTCTTGGTTTAAGAACCCTAGGTCTAGATTTAGGTTTAATGTTGATGTATGTGACACATTCCATATTTGATTGATGATTTTACTTAATTGATGGATGTTTTCATGAATGACATGAGTTGGGTATCCATTTTCATGTATTGAGCTTTTGACCTAGGAGGAAGAAAATTCCCTTAGAGCCCACCATTGGCGTCTTCGGGTAACTCCTCACCCTATATCATCCGAGTAATCCCCAAGGGAGTCGATTCCATCAATCTCCTACAATATATGGTTTCCTAGGTTGAATAGAGCCTACCACATTCATCGATTCGTCATTTCGGGTCATTTCCGAGGGATTCCATCTCCAAACGGTAGAGTAATTGAGTCAATCAAGCTTTTGACATAGGAGGCAAACAACTCCTCACCCCATATCGTCTGGGTAATCCCGAGAGAGTCGATTGGATCGATCTCCTACGATATAGGGGTGCCCTAGGTTGAATAGAGCTCATACCCATCCATCACTTTACCGTTCCGGGTCCATCCCGAGGGAGTTCATCTCCTAACGGTAGGATAGTGGGTTGATCGAGCTAGGATGGTACTCAACATCGATCATATTACAGAGCTAGGAGGATTCAAACCAAGCGAGCTCCCTACCTTGTAAATATCTAGGATTAGTGGTTAGTCTAGGTTAGTTAGTTTAGTTGTATTAATTACTATCCTAGGTTGGCTAGATAACGAACCCTAAACTTGAAGTAGGGTAAGCCTAGATCCCCGTGGTACGATAAATTCTTATTGCTTGCTTTCCCTATGCTACACTCGGTCGTCGCTTATACTTGGCCTTCGATCGGGACATTGTAGTTAGAACTAGTTAATGCTAGCCTTGCTCCTTATGTTGAAGAGACCCTCCTTTGGGGAGGAATTCCCAAATCCTTGCTTGAAGATGAAACCTTAGCTTCTCCACTGCTTTGGTTCGTCACTTTCTCACTCTAGAAATTTGAAGAAGAAGAAGTTTCTCACACTAGGTCTCCCCTTTTTCTCTTCAGCTCAACCTCCTTTATATACACAGATCGAGCTCAGATCCTGGTCCAAGTTCACGACCGTGATCTCAAGTTGAAACGCACCGCATCACAAAATTCAGTTCACGGGCAATGGCCAGAGTTCACGGTCTTACGACCATGAAATGACTTGTGTCCAGTGAAAGTGATTTGTGCTCTGGATGCCTAGTTGTTCACGATCTTAGTGATCGTGAACACACATCCTAAACCGTGATCTCCTGCTGCTTCCACCCTTTGACTTGATTTTTTGCCCTTTTGTCCAACTTTCGACTCTGGGGTTGTTTCCACCTGGCAAAGTCTAAAAAACACCAAAACATGGCAAAACCAGACGTAAAACCAAACCTCCCAGAGTAAAAATGCTTCAAACGACTAAGCAAATTTGGGGTAAAAAGTGTACAAATGAGCCCGAATCAACTATTCTGTAGACACCACTTTTTGTCCAGGTAAAACGTATCTAATTAAGTAAAATTTGATTTTTGTTTAAGGTTGGCAATAGAAAATCTTAAATGATCTTTTAACTAAAAATGTATTTTTAGCATTGTAATGAGGAGTCTTGTTGGCCATAGCTCATCGGTACAATGTGGATCAATGAGAGTAGCAATAGCTAATCTTAATTGGTACAATTTGATAAGGATGACATGCTTTGATTAGATGAATTAACATTCACTTAGTTTTGGTCACAAAATTGATTGTGTAATTGGCTGTTAAACATTGGGTCTTATGAGATTGGACTTTGGTTTCAATAGATAAAAGAAAAGAAGAATTAGGAATAGAAATAACATCTCACTAAAATAAGTTACAATTACGTTAAATACAATCACATTACTAAATAAAAACTACTAATACAATTATATTACATAACAACTAATTACAACTACAAAAATAAAATGATCCAAGCCTGCCCAAGTCAAAGCCCAGTCAACTCTGGTAAATGCCAGTCAACGAGTCAGTCCACACAAAAGCCCAAAAAACTCAATTCACCAATCAAGCCCATGTCAGCCCAACCCAAACAGGTTTAGCCCACTTCCCATACCCAACCCGGTCCAACCCAATCCATAAGCTACACAAACATAGAGGGCGGCCCCTATAACCTCTCAAATCCAATTACATTGTGCCAACTCATGATTTTTGGCTATAAAAAGAGTTCTTTAGCTCTGGCAAAAAGGGGGGCAGAACAAAAAAAAAATATTCCCTGAACCTTTCCTTCTCTGTCACTTCCTTATGCTGATCGGCTCCTTCCTCAAAATTCCAAACAAAAAAGAGGAACACACAAACAACAAGAAAAACTCCCCTGACTCTCTTCCTTTACCTGACACCTTCTTCCTTCTTCTTTTCTGATCAAAAGACAAGACAACGAAAATTCTGCAAAAACCACTCCCTTCTTTCTTCATCCCCACCTTCCCGTCTCTGAACAAACAGACAGCGAAGAGCAAAAACCCTGCAAAATTCTCAGATTCTTCTCAGCCACAAAAACAAATACAAACAGAGAGCAAAAGCCAAAAAGAGAACAGGCCGTGGAAAGAAAACCCTCCATGCTTCCTCTCTTTCATTAGATAAAAAAATAAAACGACAACACAACAGCTTACGTTTTCCCATTCCTACAGCAAATAACCATCCCACAATCACAAAAAGCCACACAGAAAAGAGAAAAACACAAAAGATTCCTTTTCACTTAATTGTTCTTTAGCCGCACAAAGAAGAAAAACACAACAAAAAGAAGCAAAACCAGGAAAGGAGGAGACGACGCAAAGACAGCAGCAAGAAGTTTCGAGGAAAGGCCAGAATCACCATCAAGCTACAAGAAAAGGGTTGGTAATAAAGTAATCCTAAATCTTGCCACCATTATCATTCAACAACATCATTTTTTAATATAATCTCTACTACTACCCTTCTCTAAAAATGGTTTCGAGGAGGAATCTACCTAACCAGTATTCAAACAAATTACAAGTTAACAAACCCATGATCTGATGCAATCAAAGCTTTCTTTTTACTATATACATATGTTTTACTATAAAAACAGATAATTATACTAGCCTTATATGTTTAGTTACGTTCATGTTGGTTATAAAAATTACTAGGTTTTCTGTGTGTTAAGCATACAGTCACAAACATACTTGAGATAAACTACTCACCCTAAGCTACCTAATCAGATTTCATAAACTAGGATCAACAAGCTAATTAAACCAGCTTTTAGTTTATTAACTCTAAACCTATTCTTGTTCATAACCTTACACACAAACAGCAAACATAATCCCAAAGCAGAAATAAACACACAGATCTCTAAAATTGCACCCCATGAATATGAATTTCCAGCAGCAAACCATCATAAACAACACAAAACTCCCAACACCAAAACCCGTCTAAAAAGTTTGAGCCATTATCACAAAAATCCCAAACTAACCATTATAGCAGATTATCAAAACAATCACCGGCAACCGATTCTCAAAATCAAACTCATCATGAACACCATAACACAGATTTCCAGATTTGAACCCCCTAGAATGATCACAAAAAGCCAGAATTCCCCAATGGTAGAAAACTACCCTAAATTACCCCCAAATCGACATACATCATAACCTAATTCCATAAACACCTCATTTAACACTATTTATTACTACTTATATGTTACATCTTACATATACTGTTCCTTTATTGTAATCCCTTTCATTCTTAGTCATATTGTCTTTAAAGACGAACTCTGTTTACCCATCATTTCCATATGCATAGCAACGACATCAGTTCTAGCATATAACACAAATGATTGAAACCATCAAAACTTCACTCAATAAAAGGTTGTAATTAAGCTAGACAAGCAAGATTCGATTTTGTTTCAAGGGCAATCCCTCCAATCTATTCATAATCACACGTCCATACACAAAACTCAGATTTGCAACACCATTTGTCAAAACTGTCAAAATCCCAGAGTTAAACCATTCTCACCACAATTTCCAGATTTAGACCATCCACAAACCATAAATCTGTCCCAGATCCCCCCAAATAAAACAAAGACAACCTAAACCAAACTATATCCAACGAATTTATATGCCAAATTACCACACTAACACAACCAAACCCTTCCAAACTACGTTAAACACCAACTCAATACAAAACTAAAGCTTTAATCATCAGACACATAATTCTAGATTACAAACAAACTTCAATTTGTAAACCCATACACAGGTTAAAATAAAATAAAAACCATAACAGATTTCCGAATTCATCACATACACACATAAGCTTAGTCTTAAAACCCAGTCATACATACAAATCCCCAGTTTCGATACCGATGTAAACAACCACAATTTTCCAGAATTCATACTCAATCATCTCAAACCAAAATTTCTAGAATTAAAACCAGCAAAACAAAATTTCTAAATTCGGACCCTGAATCTTACTCACCTGCCATGTCTGACGTCGGCGGTGACCCTCTTTCTGTCCAGTCATGCTCTCTCTCCACCCTCTGCCAAAATGGAAGAAACCAAAAAATACAATCAGAACCCTAAACAACCTCTAAATCCAAAGAAAATCAAAACCAAACCACTTAAAATCGACATGCATGTGAATGAAAATGATCTTACCTCCGTCACCCTCGTTGGTGTCGTCATCGGTGTCGATCGCCGTCTTCCTTTAGCTGCTGTCGCCCGTCCCTTCGGTCCTTCTCCTCGTTGTTCCTAGGGAAGAACAGAGGAAAGACAGGTCGAGGAATGGGAGTCATGAGGAGATGGATTGCGAAGAAAGAAGAGGGGATCGAGTGAGAAGAAGAATGGAAGGAGAAAGGTTAGTTTCGTTCTTTCTTTTGTTGGATCGTCGATTGTAGAGGATGAAAAAGGAGAGGCAGAACAAGTGAAAAAAGTGAGCGGCTAGGGTTAGGTTAGGCCTCCAAAAACGGGTTCACACACCCCGGACTCCTAAATTGACCAAAATACCCCTCTAATTTCGACTAAATTACCCGCTGCCACTTGCTGATTGGTTCTGTGAAATCCGAGACTCTGAAGTCGCGAACCAGAGACCCTGACATCACTAATTGCTTCAGGTCAGGGTAACTAACAACGAAGCTATGCCATCATACTTGAAACTTCAATCTCCTCATCTACTCTTCTTCGTGTTTAACGTTAATACATAATATTCGTGTCAACTAATCGTGCTAGGATTTTTGCTTTAACCAAATTATGTATACCTCTAAACATTTCAAGATATTAAAAACCTTTGTTACCACATTCGCTTTGGCTTCATTATTCATATCCATGCTCGTTTTACTTAGAAAATATCTTAATACGAAATCATGATAAATAAACCATAATAGTTACTCTCGATGGAATCATTTGAAAGATGGTTTTACCATTCAACTACTAAGTTGAAACATCATAAATAAATTACCTAACAACTCAAATTATCATCTTAGCCACGATCAATAGAACGTGTTAAGAACGCTAACATTTCAAATCACTCATTTTAAAACTTCAAAATCACCAAACTACGTGGACTTTGATCCCGCCTACTCGGGTACGTAGGCAACCAATAGGTTTCAAGTCCGACTAACAAATTTTCTCCACATTCCTAATATGTGAGACTCAACATTTAAAAATCCCAAATATAAACGAACTACGTGGACTTTGATCCCGACTAAGTCGGGTACGTAGGCAACCAATAGGTTCGAGTCCAACTAATCAAAAATATTTTCTTTACTTCTGAGATTTTGCATCAATAGATGTATGATCAAATATCAATAATTAACACCTAATTATTGAATCACATAATTAAATACGTAAATGAGGCGCAAATTATGAATACACCCAACCTTTAAAAACTTATTGATTTAAGTAGTACCAATTTTGGGCGTTGTGGGGTGTGAATACACTTCTCCACTCGTAACCGTACTCCCGAACCCAAATCTCTAAAATTTTCGCAGACCACATCTCAGTTTCGACCCTAAGGTCGGGACCGAACAAAAAGGTGTTCGACCCACCACATCTAAGGTCGGTGGCGACTTCGAGCAAATCGCGACGGTCCCCCGATCTCGGAATGGCGGTTGCGACATATTCATCTAGATGGTTCGAAGCTCAAGCACTTCCAGCGAATGATTCTTGCCAAGTTTGCAAGTTTCGAAAGAAACTTTTCTCTCGATTCGGCACTCCTAGGGCGATAATTAGTGATCGAGGTACGCACTTCTAACTTCTAAGGGCAATTCGAGAAGTTATTAAGCAAATATGGTGTTCGTCATCATCGTGTCTCCATATTTTACCACCCTTAAACAAGCGGCCAAGCAGAGTTGACAAATCGTGAGTTGAAACGAATCCTTAAGAAGAGTGTCTCATAATCAAGAATAGATTGGTCCCTCCAATTAGATGATGCTCTATGGGCCTATGGAACAACGTACAAAACAACAATTGGCACATCTCCATATGGGCTCGCATACGGAAAGACATGTCATCTTCCAGTAGAAATGGAGCACAATGCGTATTGGGAAATTAAGCTTCTCAACTTCAATGAAACACTTGTAGGAGAGGAATGGAAGCAATAGTTAATAGAACTAGAAGAGTGGAGGCTTCAGGCTTATGAAAATACTAATATTTACAAGGAAAAAACAAAGAGGTTTTATGATTCCAGGCTACGTGGCCAAAAGGAGTTCAAGGAAGGTGATAAAGTCCTACTTTACAACTCCCAGCTCCGATTGTTCCGAAGGAAACTTAAATCCAGGCGGTACGAACTTTTTGTGGTCACTAAAGTAAACCCATATGGGGTTGTTCAAATTGCCAATATGAAAAGAGGAGAATTCAAGGTTAATGGTCATAGGCTCAAACTTTATCTTGGTGGTTTGTCACATCGTTCCGAAGAGATTCTCCTTTTATCGGAACCTTGGCCTCCGTAGTACTTTCGTCTAGCTTATGATGTTAAAGAAACATGTTGGTATTGTTTATATTTCTTAATTATCTTTTGTCGTTCACATAACCGTCACTATTAAGTGTTTTATGCACCTTCATTTTCACTGTGACTTACAATCTTCTTCCCCTCTTTCTTATGCACTTTATCGTTGTGAAAATCACCAGGAAGAAAAAGACCTACACTTGTGTACCAACCCGCAACCTGACCTATGGTAACCTTCATGATCTTCTCTTTAGAATCTCCCACATTGAGGACAATGTGTCGCTCATGTGGAGGGGGGGGGGGGATGTGTGTGAATGTTAGAATGATTGTCATAATTGATTGAGCCATGAATCACTAGTATCCTCCCTTGATTAGGAATGTAAGACGTTGATGATTGCTTTTGGGAGTGTATGTGATAACGATGTAATTGCACATATTTGCGCCCCTAGTTCTTATCCGTTTGAGGGGCATAGTCGTGTATTTTGGCCTATTTTACGTCGGGTTGTGCTATTTTGTCATGTTTCAGGTCCCAGGTGTCAAAGGGAAGGCTAAGCGCGAGTTTCGGGGCGTTCGGAAGTCATTTCGGTGAGCTGGAGCCAAAACACGGGCACACCTAAAACAGTACACGGCCGTGTACTGCTGGCCGTGCTTTTTATGCCGAGAGCAAATTCAGTTTGGCCGATTCAGCTGCAAACACGGGCACCGAAGCACGGCCGTGTTCAGTCAAAGCACGGCCGTGTACATCGCGAAGCATGGCCGTGTTTCAACCAGCTGCTGGCCGTGTAATTAAACACTGGCCAAAACACGGGCAGGCTCAGGCAAAGCACGGCCGTGCCCTCGACCGTACTTTGGCCACTGATGCTTTTAAGCAGAGTTTCAGCCACAATCCAAGGGAGATTCGAGTTTTTGAGAGAGAGATCAGTTCCTAGAGAGAGAAAGTGACGAGCAAGAGTTCCCAAGTGCCCTAGATTGATCTTCAACACCATTGGAGGCCAGCTTGAGCTTGGAGAAGTGCCAATCAACGTCCAGAAGCAGGAATCCATCCTTCGCAGTATGAATTCCGTGTCTGATTATGCTTTTGCTTTCTTCTCCATGGAGTAGTTCTCCCATTCATCTGGGTATGGAGAACCCTAGATTTGTATGTTAGGCTTTGATTGTATGAACCCAAGTACTGATTCTGTGATTGATTATATTCGATTGAGGTTTTAATGATTGAATGACTTGAATCTTGATCAAATTCCTGTTGTTTCTGCTTTAACCTAGAATGAGAATATCTGCCTAGGTTAATAGAGTATCCTTGATTGAAGGTAGGGAGTTGGTGACTTTAGTCGAGGAGCCAACTCACTATTCTGTACCGGATTTACTCCGGTAGTGGAGGTTTTGTTCTTAGGGCCTCAATCTGTCGACTCCGGTGGAGGTTAGTCGCCCGCTAGAGAGTCAAATTGAGAGGGTCTGAAGACCTTTAGTCGAGACTTTAGGCTGTTTAAGAACCTTCCGCAGTATAACCATCATAGAAACTGAACTTGGTAATTACAATCCGGCTTAACTGCAGTCTAGGGGGAACCATATCCGGGTGACCTCTTTAACCTGAATACAACAGTTTACTTGCTTTGTCTGTTTGGTAGTTTAGATTTGCATTCCAGTTTCATTGCTAGATAACAAGAATTCACTGAGTAGTCATCACATCTAGGACCCGGGTTGATAATTAAACCCAAACCCGCTATACTACGCTTTAGGAAGTGGTTTCACTTGGCCAATTCCTGGAGTGACAGTAGAGTCGAGTCAAGTTTTTGGCGCCGTTGCCGGGGACGGCTAGGTTGTTGAAGAAAAGTGATTTCTGTTAATTTAGCTTTTCTTTTTGCTTTGTTTTCTTTGTCCCACTTGTGCCTTCACGGGTTTGTTGCTTGAGTGTGTGCAGGTAGTGCATGACCCATAGCCAGTCGGGAGGTTTACTGCCGTTGAATCCAGAGATTGACCGCACCTGTCGCCAGCTCAGGAGACAACAGCGAGCTAGACTGGCTACGGAAGAGCGCATAGACGGCCACCTGAGCAGCGATTCTGAAGAAGAGCCCGGGATGGACGGAGACTACAACCAACACCAGGGGAATCCACAGCAGGTTCCCCCGGTGAATCAGGTCCTGGGGAACAATCCCATACCCCAGGATCATGGAGCTCATCATCCACCGCAGCCGGGTCCCACCTTAGAGTACTACTACACTCCTCGGATTGCTGACATCCGCCCGGTCATCCTCTACCCGCCGATCCCAGCAAACAACTTCGAGATCAAGCCATGCTGGATTCAGCTCATCACATCCTCGATCCAGTTTCATGGCTTGAAGGATGAGGAGGCCAGGGTGCATCTTTCCCGTTTTCTGCAGCTGACAAACGGGTTCAAGCTGAACGGTGTTCCCGATGATGCGATCCGCCTTCATCTCTTCCCCCATTCTCTGGCGAGGAATGCTAAGAGGTGGTTGGAGACCCAGCCCCCATTGTCCATCACCTCTTGGGACGATCTGGCGGACAAGTTCGTGCACAGGTACTATCCGGCATCGAAGACTACAGAGATTCAGCGGGAGATCACTCACTTCCGCCAGGAGCCAGATGAGTCACTCCGTGATGCTTGGGAGCGGTACATGGGCTACTTCTAGCAGTGCCCCCACCATGGCTTTAGTGATGCTTTCACTGTGGGGAACTTCTACAGCGCTCTCTCCCCAGATAGCCAGAGGGTGATTGAGTCTTTATGCCCAGGAGGGGATGTTCTCACCAAGACTCCACCCGAGCTGAATCAGATGATTAATACATTGGCTGCCAGAGATCATTCTTGGGGGCAGAGCAGCAGAGGCAGATATTCCAGGGACCGTGGTGTACACGCCATGGAGACCAGATCCGGGCTCGAGCAGTAGGTAGCTGAGCTAGTGCAGACATTGAAGCAGCCCAACAGTCTTATTCCGGGCAGAGGCATGGCTACACCTCCAGTTGCTCAGTGTCAGTGGTGTGAGAGCTCGAGCCACTTAGTAGAAGACTGCCAGGCTATGAGGGAGTCTACTACCCCCCAAGAGCAGTTGGACTTCATCGCCAATGCTCGGCGCCTCGACCCGTACAGCAACACCTATAATGAGGGGTGGCGCCAGCATCCCAACTTCTCTTGGGGCAGTAACACCACCAAGCCACCTGGTTTCCCAGCACCAGCTGGTGGCTTTCAGCAGAGGCAGCCCTATCAGCCTCGACAGGGCCCAGTTCCACAGCAGCAGCCCTACCAGCCTCGACAAGGGCCAGT